TCACTCACTCACTCACTCACTCACTCAAGCAGACAAATGGTTCTGGCCAGGCTAGGATCTTAACATCGTCTACTTGATATTAAAGTCCATACACGATAATGCTGGTCTGTGCCTTAGAAAATATAGCAACCCTTGCAAGGATGAATAATACCAAGACGTGTTGGAAACGGATCCATGTTAATATGATAAACTTAAACTTGAAACGTAATCCACTTACAAAAGAGTGAGGCCGCTGTATATTGAGCTTGTTGTGTTGTGGACTTCGACATAATAAAGTCGTAGAACACTCTCAGCTCCAGAAAGTTGTTCCTGAATAACAGCAAATACAGGCAATGACACATAGGGGAAACCTATGAATTTGCACATGGCATGATAACAGACTCGCGAGTATAACCGATGTTAATATGGCTTTTGAACTTTTTATTTATATGACAGCATTATTTCTATTACAAATCCCTTAATGGTATAAAATTTCTTTGAAATTTGTTAGTTTCCCATTGCGTACGGCAAACACTGTTTGTTTCAATTTTAAGGTCGCCACATAAAAGAACTTATATGCAGCGACCTTGGCATGTACGGGACTTAACTGAGACAAAGAAGGCAATTCACCATCTTGGAAACATGATGCATGAGTGGGGATCATGCAGCTAATGGTTTTGAAACATATCAAAGATGGTAAATTTGTGTTTGGGAAATTGGTCCTAGCCAGTGCGGAATGCTCACACCATAGTCTCCTTGTCCCGGGCCTGTGTGGTGTTGAGGACGCTGTTGGTCCAGATGTTTGCTGGGAAGGAGCTGGAGGACACCTGGGCGGTGTACCTTTTTAGGGTGCACTCACCGACACAACCACATTCTTTAACGAAGGTACCGTTCTTTGACATTTTTCCTTGGTAAACAAGTAAACGTTGCGATATGATTACAAACTGTAATTAGTTTATTTTACAAAACGTTCCATTTTGATCTGTCATTCTTTAATTTAATGCACATATTGTCTTACGCATGTTTAAATAATTTATAAGGCCAGCATGTTTCCTGTCACAGAAACAACCTTTATAGATAAATCAGTAGGTGATTTGATCGTTTTGCTACCTTGTGCGCTTCTCTTCGCAGTCTAGGTCATAAATGATGAACAAATCAAAGTTATTTGTCACTCTTGCGAGTACATTAAGCATTGGGATATACATTGTGCTTCCACACATTAATATGTGTATCATGTTAGCTGGGAAGGTGCTGGAGGACACCTGTGCGGTGTACCTTTCTAGAGTGCACCCACCGACACAACCACATTCTCCAACGAAGGTACCGTTCTTTGACATTTTCCCTTGGTAAACAAGTAAACTAGTAGGTCTGATTTCAAGCTGTTTATTTTTAGAAAACGTTTCAGTTTGATCTGTCATTCTTTAATTTAATGCGTGCACGTATAGTCTTTTTCGCATGTTTAAATAATTTATAAGGACAGTATGTTTCCTGTTATAGAAACAACATTTCTAGATAAATGAGTAGGTGTTTTCTGTCTTTTTGCTACCTTGTGTTCTTGCGTTCGCAGTCCAGCTCGTAAGTGATGAACAAATCAAACTTATTTGTCACTCTTGCAAGTACATTAAACATTGGGACATATGTGTTTACAATTTTCGAATATATTGAAACAATTTACTCCAGAAACACTAATGTGTTATAAACAATATTCTATAACAAAATAAATTAACCAGTTGCTATTGTGCTGCAGATTTCATTGAAGCCACACTCTTCCTACAATGTGTCTCTGACCAGAAAACAGTTTCAAAATTTTATAGCCATTGTCGGAGAGAGGATAACCAATCAAAAGAAGTGGTTGCACAAAGAAACTGAAATATGTCACCAAATGTCTTCGGAATCTCAAAATATTCATGGATCTCCTTGACGTTTTGCAATCTCACAAGGAATGGAGTTTTGTTCTGTCCTCCCAAAACCTTGACTATGTATATTCCACTATATCTGACACAACCAATTAAGGAAGACTTTATTTCTTGCTTCATAACTAGGTACCAATGGACAATTTGTTAATAGAGAAAACAAATTTCTCGTGTCTACTGCGAAAACAATACGTAAAATGTCGGATAAGTTATTTCTCAGGATAACATGATGACTGATGTCTACTGAAACCTTCATTGTTTGAATCTGATTTAATTTTAAAGGAATCTTGAGAATAGTTCTTTCCCATCTACCCCAAACTCTCCCCATCCAGAACATCAAAGAATATCGTTACACGTAAATGGTAGCGATACTTACTGAGAAAGGCATTGTAACAGCTGTGATGTTTCACCAGAGAGCATATGGGACCATCCTCTGCAACAAATATCAAACATTTGTACTGACTTTCTTATCTTTATGTAGTGCATGACTTTACCCCTTAGATATTCCAGGTCAGATTATACCTATAGTAGACCAGTCACAGGAGCCTTTAGAAATTGCTGGTCCTTTATAATCAACAGTTGGTACAGCTTGAGCTGGCGCAGTATCCGCGAAAGCACATGTCATAGGGAATGACTTGTCTTTGACCTTTAGCTTACCGGAAAGGATGTATGGTTGTTTAGATGGGTACTGTGTACTTAATGTTGATGTACGTATGTTGCTGGCATATGCAATGATGTAGTTGATGATGTTGGATGATGGTGGATGTAGTGATGTATGTCTAATAATAATGTACAATACGATAACAATAATATATATTGTAGTTGATGATGTTGGATGATGGTGGGGTGTAGTGATGTATGTCCAATATATCTATATATATTGTAGTTGATAATGTTGGTATGATGTAGTTGATGATGTTGGATGATGGTTGGGGGTGTAGTGATGTATGTCTAATAATAATACCGTACATACGATAACAATAAATATATATTGTAGTTGATGATGAAGTGTTGGATGATGTCTAATAATTGGGGTGTAGTGATGTATGGCTAATAATAATACCGTACATACGATACCAACAATATATACTGTAGTTGATGATGTTTGTAGTTGATGATGTTGGATGATGGTGGGGTGTAGTGATGTATGTCTAATAATACCGTACATACGATACCAACAATATATATTGTAGATTATTTGATGATGTTGGTATGATGTAGTTGATGATGTTGGATGATGGTGGGGTGTAGTGATGTATGTCTAATAATAATACCGTACATACGATACCAACAATGTATATATGATGTAGTTGATGATGATGATGATGATGATGGGGTGTAGTGATGTATGTCTAATAATAATACCGTACATACGATACCAACAATATATATTGTAGTTGATGATGTTGGTATGATGTAGTTGATGATGTTGGATGATGGTGGGGTGTAGTGATGTATGTCTAATAATAATACCGTACATACGATACCAACAATATATATTGTAGTTGATGATGTTGGATGATGGTGGGGTGTAGTGATGTATGTCTAATAATAATACCGTACATACGATACCAACAATATATATTGTAGTTGATGATGTTGGTATGATGTAGTTGATGATGTTGGATGATGGTAGGGTGTAGTGATATATGTCTAATAATAATACCGTACATACGATAACAATAATATATATTTGGAACAAAGCATCAACGACGTAAAACATAAGCATCATCTTTGTACATGTAAGTATCATCTACGTTAGATGTATGCATCTTCTTCATACATGTAAGAATCATCTACGTTAGATGTATGCATTATCTTCGTACATGTAAGCATCATCTACGTTAGATATATGCATTATCTTCGTACATGTAAGTATCATCTACGTTAGATGTATGCATCATACATGTAAGCATCATCTGCGACGCAACCCTAATTCGCCCCATCTAGAATGACAGGGCCACCGTGTGCCGTCATGACAATGAATAGTTGTCTAATAATTTCTCTTGCTGCGAAAACACACTTGATTGGCTAAATACAATTATAATATTTGAAATAATTTGCAAAGCAACAATGGAAGATTTGCGTTAAGTTCAAGAAAAGCAGCCCCCATTGCCATTACGAGTACTACTTCATTTTTAAACCACTGGCGGTAACAAAAAGACCAGTGAAGTCTGAAATAGAGTATAACATTTTTCTGCGCATGCGTAGACTAATTGACTTTCTACACATGCGCGCCGGTAATAAAAAAGGGCGACAACACGACAATGTCCCTTCTCGGATTCCATACCTGACAGAGTTTCTTGGGACAGTCCTATCCCACGCTGATGAATTTGTCCGAGATGTGCCTCTGTTCAGCCAGCAGTGGATGGATACCAGGTAGAATGAGATGGTAATATCACTTAACCCTCCAGCACCTCATAAACAGTTTAGGTCGGCTTTGAACGTGATATTTTTCTTGGGAAAACGCCATACAAATGGACTGCTATCATTATGATATTAAAAACGATGAAATCGCTCGGCAGAGTTGCGTACCCTTGAAGTGCCGAAAACCTATACTCATCACTCACTCACTCACTTCACTCCTCTCCACTCACTCACTCACTCACTCACTCACTCACTCACTCACTCACTCCTCCTCCACTCACTCACTCCACCCCACCCACCCGCCCACCCCACCCACCCACCCACCCACCCACCCACTCATACCACTCACTCACTCACTCACTCACTCACTCAACTCCTCACTCACTCATTTCACTCCACTCACCACCACTCACTCCTCACCACCTCCACTCCTCACTCACAAGGAGCTTGGTAAGAGTAGCAAGGTATTTCATCACACAATAATGTCTGTTTTTCAATTCTGTTTGAATCTACATAATTAATCCTGGAAATGCCATGATTCACAATCCATCGATGATTTTCTCAGACGATACTATACCCAGCGATACACATGTACCTGTATCATTTCAAACATACTCAATCATAATAATTTCCAGCAAAATGGCCAGTTTGAATACAACCATTCCATAAACCAACGACCCTTAACCCACAGACTTCACGGCCACATGTACGTTCATTTATTATTGTTCTGAGTTCGAATCCCTAGGCATCTCTGCCCTGTCAAAACATCGATAAATAATCATGCTTGTGATAGCCTCTGATGAAATGTCGCATTGTCGCGTTGTCGCGTTGTCGCCCTTTCGTTTTCAGTGTGAAGTCTGTTTGAACACGTACAATAAAATAATGAAGGAATGCGCATGCGTGTGTATGCCGCCATTTGTTGCCAAGTAGTCTTGTGCTCTCCATTGTTGATTTCCTTGCAGACAACAGTCAAATGTTTTCTTTTACCTCATTTCAAGGTTCCTCAGGTTTCAAACACCTCACGAAACCTAATTCCTAATTCTATATCCTCAGATTAACAGATTGTTCAAAGTTCATGAAAAGCAGCCCTCATTACCATTGCGAGTACTATTTGATTTAAAACCACTGGCGGTAACAAAAGACCAGTGAAGTCTGAAATAGAGTATAACATTTTCTGCGCAAGCGTAGACTAATTGACTTTCTACACATAGCGCACCGGTAATCGAAAAGGGCGACAATGCGACAACGCGACAATGTCCCTTCTCGAATTCCGTATGTATGTGTCTCAGATAAGCCACACACGTACGTCGACTAACGGGATCGGGTGGGGTCAGTCTCGCTGACTTGGTTGACACATGTCCTCGTATCCCAGTTGCGTGATCGATGCTCATGCTGTTGATCGCTGGGTTTATCTGGTACAGACCTCGATTATTTACATACCGCCGCCATATAGCTGGAATATTGCTGATCACGGCGTGAAACTAAACTCACTCACTCACTACAAACTTACGTGGATCTGATGGGCCGACACACCCACACTCATTGAAGGCCTTGACCCGGACACACTCCATGAAGCAATGGTCGTAGGAGAAGGGGAGTAGTACTTGAGAGGATTCACAAACTTGGGTTTAGCTGTGTCTATACATTCCTGACTACCAAATGCCTTGTAGGGGCGGGGCAGGAACAGAAACTGCAAAGCCAGGACAAAAGTTAGCAGTGTGTCCCTTCAAAATACCAAAATAATATTAGGAAACATACACAAATGTAACCGGAAAGTCAAAATGGGTCAAAATCGGTCGCAAAAACTCTGCGACCGGTTGCGAACGAACTGGTCGCAGTGATCGCGCTCGGTATACCGGTCGGTTTGGTGGAACGGGGGCCTTAGTTTATGTATGTCCGTGGTATATTCAGATACACCCACCTCCTCTTTTTGCAAGGCAACATATGTTGAGAATCCGGGCGAGGCCATGACGATGGTGGAGCTAGCGTCTGGGTGTAGTCGAGGATTGTGCAGCAGAACCTGAAAATTTATACAGGACCTCATACATATCACCTGTTTATTTTACATTATGATCTATCTCGTGAAGATCGGGGTTAGAATTGATCAACAGCAACCCATATCTAACGTAACTGGCAGCTAACGGGATGAAGATCCCGTGAAGATCGGGGTTAGAATTGATCAACAGCAACCCATATCTATCGTAACTGGCAGCTAACGGAATGAAGATCCCGTGAAGATCGGGGTTAGAATTGATCAACAGCAACCCATATCTATCGTAACTGTCAGCTAACGGAATGAAGATCCCGTGAAGGTCGGGGTTAGAATTGATCAACAGCAACCCATATCTATCGTAACTGGCAGCTAACGGAATGAAGATCCCGTGAAGATCAACAGGGTTAGAATTGATCATCACAGCAACCCATATCTATCGTTACTGGCAACTAACGGAAGGAAGATCCCGTGAAGATCGGGGTTAGAATTGATCAACAGCAACCCATATCTATCGTAACTGGCAGCTAACGGAATGAAGATCCCGTGAAGATCGGGGTTAGAATTGATCAACAGCAACCCATATCTATCGTTACTGGCAGCTAACGGAAGGAAGATCCCGTGAAGATCAGGGTTAGAATTGATCAACAGCAACCCATATCTATCGTTACTGGCAACTAACAGAACTGGTTGACGCATGTCGTATTCCAAATGCTTAGCTCGATGATCATGATGTCAGTCACTGGATTGTCTGATTCAGACTCGATAATCTATAGACCGCTATCATGTGGTTGGAATATATATTAGTACTGTGTTAACCCCCTGGCTGCCGAGTTTTTTTTCAGGCGCACATTTTCATACAGTTTGAAAAGTGAACGTTGTGCGAGAATTGCTCTCGCGTGGTCCTGGATCTACGTAAGGCTATAAAATTACACAGAAATGTAGAATATTAAATTTCCTATCCGTTGGTATAAATATAAGTGCAACTACCTTGGCGGTTTGAGAAATAGACCTTGCTAAATGTTGTCCAAATTTTTGTTATGCGTTAAAAAACAGTAAATTTCTCCGCTTTTTATCGCGCACCGATAAAAAGCACTGTGCTAGAAATTTTTAATGGGGCATCTTTACGGAGAGTGTGAGCGAAGAAAATACAGCCTGATATCTGAACGACATAAGTGTATATGAATTGGGTTTATGTATTGGCGTGCACTGTAACGTTATACGCTCAACATTAAAAATGACTGCAATAAATGTCAAAAATGTATTTTTTCTTCTATGACGTCAAACGACGACAGAGAGGTCATAAACGTATAATGATAAGGGGGCATAACTCCGTTATGCGTAACACTAGGTCAATGTAACTCAGATCCTTGGAGAAAATGTGTTGTGGATACGGACGCTATATTTTCGTTATTTTATATTCATGAGGTGAACCTCACTATTCCAATTCAAAAGTTCCCCAATGTGAACGGATGCGCTTTTGGTAGTTTCACAATTTATAAGAAAAGATGACAACGTATTACATGAAAAAGCACGTAATAGCGATTTGGATGGCCCTATCCGATATATAATAAGTTAGTTCTTAGATTCCCATATTCTCCTGTTTGTGTAGATGTAATTTGACTAATTTTGCATCGTTATTACCAGAGTACTAGCCATATCTTCAAATGTAACGAAATTGCTGAAAATAATACAACATTTTTTAGTTGACGTCATCGCTTGTTTTATGCATTTTGCGACGTTGGAAAACGACGACACTGGTATGCTGATTAGCATATATCTCACTTAATTTCCATTCATTGTATAAAGGTCTAGACTTTCTATGTCAGGAATTTAACACTCTTTAGACAAAAACATAAAATGACTGATTTTTCCATTTAAATAGTGTCCTGAATATATCAACAATTAGACAGTTTGACAGCGTATCTTTATTGTGACCAACACGCGCACCTGTTTGGCATCAATTTAACGTAAATAGAAATAATATTTCACAACACCCGAATATTTTTGTTTGGGATAAGAATTTTGTTTATGATTATGAAGCTATTTCTTCATACGTATGCAATGAAAGATGCATAAAGATAGCTTTTATATATGGAACTATATATTAGAATATGGATATAAGATTTGTCCGAATTAACACATGAGATGGTATATATATTTTTCAACAAATTTTCCTATAAGTAAGTTAGAGTTTGATATCCTGTCTTCACAATATTATTTAATCGAATATGAATTGAATATATTATCGAAAACAATGATAGAGAATCATAAAACGTTTTCCAACAAACGCGCACCTTGCCGATCTATATGCATCATTCTTTTGTCTATAAAACGACACAAAATTATGCATCGAACAAGACAATTCCTTTAAATATGTGTGCATGTACATTTCATACCATATATAAATCATTGTCATGAATATTATCAGTTTGCATATAAGGTTGAATTATATCACCGTTCATTAACCTGTTCATATGAAATTGCAATATTAGTCCAAATAAATTGAATATTGTACATCATAGGAACTAAAGTAATTGCAGTTATGGCTACGTTTGATCTTCTAACACTTGTGTAGTAAAGGGTTTAAAATATGGTGTATTGCAATAAATATGTCAATTTCCTATGTAAATATGATTCAAACAATCAAAAACTTTCAAGAATAAAACACCGTAAACCCTATATGCATGTATGATATGATATTGAACAAGGCTAAATGTAGATACTGAAGTCAGTTTCTGAAAAAGTATCCGAACTATCCGCAAAATATACATCATAATACTGACAGTGTAATCGGAAGGATATGGCAATTGTGTTTACTCTTGTTCAACCGACCTTCACCTCAAAGAAATTGCCTAATATGTACAACAATGTTGACGTATGACATCACTACCGCTGACCGATTTCTTACAAAATGGCGGCTTTGCTGACAAAGGGTACACAGGATTTGCGAGGACCTTCCACTGATTCAGGGATCGTTTGTACATAAATATGAGATGTAAGTAATCAGAATGATTGACTATCTGTGTATTGTTATATGTTTTATCGTTTTCACTATACGCAAGAGAAAAAGGACAGAAATGCAGATAATTACCGTTATCGTTGTTAGCGTGATTTGGCGTCAGTCATAGCGTCACTGCGCTTGCACGGATTTCTTGTCGATTATCAAATCATTTGCATTTGTATCTATTTATAATTTCCTATTTCTTGCTACGATACTCTTTCCATGTATATTCTGCAAAGGCATTGAGCGGTATTGCAGGCTAATGAATAGACGGATGAATGTTGAAAATTTCAGAAAATGCTGCGCAGTGTAAAATCGGAATTTGTCTTTGTTTACATTTCACACAAACGCAGTCTTTCAAGCACAGCGTTTCGTTTTCACAACCAATATGTTTCGTCTCATTTTATCTAGACAGTTATTATTGGTGACACAGACCAGTTTCAATTGATTCTAAAATGTATGGGGGAGAATTCAGTGATGCATTTTTCGAGAAGCTGAATATGAAATATACGTGATGTAATAAGGCGTCTCAATACCGGCCTTCGCGAAACGTGATTTTGTAAACACTATTCAATATGGCGGAAAGCGCTCTACGGTGTTCGTGTAAGTGCATTTTTCGAAAACATCCCCAACCGATTCTAAAGATTCATCGGCAACGTTTCAGAATTATAATTAGCGAAATCATGTAAAACTGATATCAGTGATCATAAATATGTTATTTTTGAAATTCAATACTCACAGTAATTATCCGATTTTCACATTTGCAAAACATACAGCAAATAACGCTGTGAGATCGCGATTTCATACTGTGTCAAAATGTCGCCATTTTCGATGAAGCCTATTTTGTAAGGTCATTTTTCAGCGCGAGCTTTGTTTAAAATAATAGTGGATGGTATCATCAAGAAACGGGGAATTTCCGCAGAATTCGAAACTTTGTGAGAGTGTATTTGTATTGCGTGGGATATTTTGATTTTTATTCGACTTCAAATTGAGGGGTTGAAGGGAAGGACATATATGTCCTTCCTTCAACCTCAATTTCAAGTCCAATAAAAATAAAAAATATCCCACGCACAAAATATCACTTCACAGTTTCGAAATTCTTCGGGAAATTTCTGTTTCTGATACCATCCACTATTATTACAAAATTCAAGTGCTGAAATGACCTTCAAAATAGGCTTCATCAAAAAATGTCGCCATTTTTGACACAGTACGAAATCGCGATTCACAGCGTTATTGCTGTATGTTTTAAAATGAAACCGGATAATTACTGGGAGAGTATTGAATTTCAAAATAACATATTCATGATCACTTTCATATCAGTTTTACATGAAATCGCTAAGTAAAATTCTCAAACGTTGCCGATGAATCTAGAATCGGTGGGATGTTTTCAAAATGCACTTACACGAACGCCGCAGAGCGCTTTCCGCCATATTGATAGTGTTTGACAAAATCACGTCTTTCGGCATTGAGACGCATATTACATCACGTATAATTTCATATTCAGCTTCTGGAAAAAAATGCATCAATAAAACTCCCCATACATTTTAGACTCAAACTGCAAGTGGTCTTTGTCACCAATGCCAGCCAGTTCAGATAAAATGAGACGAAACATATTTGGTGTGAAAAACGAACGCTGTGCTCGAAACTGCGCTGGTTCGGAAATGTAAACAAAGACAAAACCTATTTTACACTGCGCAGCATTTTCTGAAATTTTCCAACATTCATCCGTCTATTCATTGCTTGCAATGGCTCAATACCTTTTGGAATATGCATGGAAAGAGTATCGCAGCAAGAAATAGGAAATTATAAATAGATACAATGCAATGATTTGATAATCATAAGAAATTGTCAAAGTTTCCGTGCAACGTGACGCCATGACTGACGGAAACCACGCAGAACGACAACGGTAATTATCTGATTTCTGTCTTTTCTCTTTACTTTAGTGAAAACGATAAAACATATAACAATACACAGATAGTCAGAATCATTCTGATTACTTACATCTCATATTTATGGACAAAACGATCCCTGAATCAATGGAAGGGTCCTCGCAAAATCTTGTGTACCCTTGTCAGCAAAGCCATTTTGTAAGAAATCGGATCAGCGGTAGTGATGTCATACGTCAACATCAACGTACATGTTACATAATATCTTTTGAGGTGAAGGTCGGTTGAACAAGAGTAAACACAATCGCCATAATCCTTCCGATTACACTGTCAGTATTATGGTGTATATTTTTGCGTACGTTCAGATACTTTTCATGAAACTGACTTCAGCATCCATATTTAGCCTTGTTCAACATCATATCATACGTGCGTATTTTACGGTGTTTTATTCTTTGAAAGTTTTTGATTGTTTGAATCATATTTACATAGGAAATTGACATATTTAGTGCAATACACCATATTCTAAACCTTTACACAAGTGTTAGAAGATCAAACGTAGCCATAACTGCAATGGGACCAGTTCCGATGATGTATAATATTCAATGCATTTGGACTAATATTGCAGTTTCACATGAACTGGGTTAATGAACGGTGATTTAATTCAACCTTATAAGTAAAACTGATAATATTAATGAAAATGATTTATATATGGTATGAAATGTATATGCACACATATTTAAAGGAATTGTCTTGTTTTTTTGCACATTTGTGTCGGTTTATGAAAACAATGATGTAAATTGATTGGCCAGGTGCGCGTTTGTCGGAAACGTTTTATGATTCACTATCATTGTTTTCGATAATATAATCAATTCATATTCGATTTAAAATATTGATGATGACAGGATATCAAACTCTAACTATATTTATACGAAAATTGTTTGAAAATATATAAACCATGTCATGTCTTAATTTGGACAAATCTTACATCCATATTCTAATATATAGTACGTACTAGTTCCATATAAAAAAGCTATCTTTTGCATCTTCCATTGCATACTTATGAAGAGAAATAGCTACATAATCATAAACAAAGAAAATTCTTTATCTCTAAACAAAATAGTCGAGTGTTGAAATGAAATGTTATTTTTCATTTACGTTAAATTGATGCCAAACAGGTGCGCTGTTTCTCACAAAAGATACACAGTCAAACTGTCTAATTGTTGATATATTCAGGACACTATTTTAAATGGAAAAAAATCAGTCATTTTATGTTTTGTCTAAAGAGTCTTAAATTCTGACATATAGAAGCCGAGACCTTTCACACAATTAAAGGAAATTAGGTGAGATATGTACTAAACAGCATACCAGTAGTCGTTCTTTTTTCCGACGTCGCAAAATGCATAAAACAAGCAATGACGTCAACTAAAATGGTGTATTATTTTCAGCAATTTCATTACATTTGAAGATATGGCTAGTACTCTGGTAATAACGATGCAAAATTAGTCAAAATACATCTACACAAACAAGGACAATATGGGAATCTAAGAACTAACTTATATATCGGATAGGGCTTCATTCAAAACTATTACGTGCTTTCACATGTAATACGTTATCATTTTCTTGTAAATTGTGAAACTACCAAACTGCATCCGCTCACATTAAGGGAACTTTGAATTGGGATAGTTTGGTTCACCATGGTATAAAATAACGAAAATATAGCGTCCGTATCCACAACAAATTCTCTCCAAGTGATCTGAGTTACATGGACCTAGTGTTACGCATAACGGAGTTATGCCCCCCATCATTATATGTGTATGACCTCTCTGTCGTCGTTTGACGTCATAGAATAAAATCCATTTTTGACATTTATTGCGAGTCATTTTTAATGTTGAGCGTATAACGTTATGCACAAGCCATAAACCCAATTCATATACACGTATGTCGTTCAGATATCAAGCTGTATTTTCTTCGCTAACACTTTCCGTAAAGATGCCACATTAAAAAATTCGTAGCACAGTGCATTTATCGGTGCGCGATAAAAAACGGATAAAATTACTGTTTCTTAACGCATAAAAAAAAATTGGACAACATTTAGCAGTGTCTATTTCTCAAACCGCCAAGGTAGTTGCACTTATATTTATACCAACGGATAGGAAATTTAATATTCTACATTTCTGTGTAATTTTATAGCCGTACGTAGATCCAGGACCACGCGAGCGCAATTCTCGCACAACGATCACTTTTCAAACCGTATGAAAATGTGCGCCTGAAAAAAAAACTCGGCAGCCAGGGGGTTAAACAAACAAACAATACAGTGATCTACACATATACACTAATTTCCTGATACCCCAAAACATCAAAGACTTTAAGTGATTTTTAAACCAACGCTACAACATTATGCATGTGTGTGTGCGTGTACAACTATATTATGTTAAACTTATGTTGTATATGAAATGTATAAGTTTGTGTCAACTTCATTATCTTACCGGTTGCCTTCATTCCCTGTCCCTGAACAATGTTTTAAGTCGCGTTATTTTAACGGTAATCAACCCGTGAATTGGTCTTCAGCAACCAATGCTTGTCGTAAGAGGCGACTGACGATACCGGGTGGTCAGGCTTGGCTGACGCATGTCATCGTATCCAAACTGCGTATGTCGGTGCTCGTGATGTTGATCACTGGATTGTCTGGTTCAGACTCGATTATTTATAGATCGCCTCATACAGTTGGAATAATGCTGATTGCGGCGTTAAATAACAAACTGACAAACAAATTAACCGTACACAGTTTACCTTGATCCCCGCAGCCATGTTAGTCCTGTATGTGTAGTCCTTCTGGTTGATGTTGAAATTGAGGACGAGGTTAGCATCTTCGCCTGCCGTCCAGGCTTTGACAATTTCAGGGTCATTGTAGTTGAAGCTATGGCACAATCCGTTAGTGGTAAAAACAGGTCGGAACCTGCTCATGCAGTCAAAATCTACATCACCATAGGAACATGACACCAGCATTTTGGCTCCTTCCATGGAAACATTCCTCCACCATTCTAACGACAATGGTTTGTGAAACCAATCTGCAGTTGGTTCAGAAAATGAAATATTTCTTTTCAGTTCTTGAGAAATATTGAAGAAATAGTTTTCCACCTCAGGGTAAACATCCAGACGAGTCCTGTTAAGGGTGCATCGGTTGCAGATGGTGACGGCGGGAAACTCGACGAAATGCGTCATTTTGGCTGTTACCTTGGTGACGCTGGGATAACTGTAATAGCGCTCGAGCTCATCTATAAGGTTGTAGATGAGAAACGCAGTAGTTGAACAGATAGCTAACACCCACAGGAGCCTGTGGAATCAAATGATAGTGATTAATATTCACAATGGCTTGTGACCCGTAAAGATCTAGGTTACAACTGGTCTTCAGCAACACATAGGTAAGAGGGAGCAAACAGGATCGGGTTGTCAGGCTCGCTGACTTGGATGACACATGTCATTGTATCCCAATTGCATAGATTGATGGAAAGAGGGAGCTAACAGGATCGGGTTGTCAGGCTCGCTGACTTGGATGACACATGTCATTGTATCCCAATTGCGTAGATTGATGGTAAGAGGGAGCTAACAGGATCGGGTTGTCAGGCTCGCTGACTTGGATGACACATGTCATTGTATCCCAATTGCGTAGATTGATGGTTATGATGTTGATCACTGGATTGTCTTGTCCAGACTCGATTATTTACAGACCGCCTCAAGTTAGTTTGGATATTGATGAGTGCGGCGTTAAACAATAAACCAACCAACCACAATGGTTTGTTGTTTATATATTAGGAACTATCTCTTGGGCAAGATGATGTAATATCTATACCCAATCAACTCTTCGTAAAACCAAATAGTAAGTTTTGGTGTTCCATACAAAAGTTGTGGTTGACCTCGGAAAATCACGTGTGCCCTCATAAAAAATTCTTTGGCGTGGTTGCCTATAATTTGGGATGTCATTGTCCCACCCGTACTTATGGGTTTCAAGAAAATAGTAAACGTTCACGGATGGCACCCAAAGTTACAAACTCACGACCATCATGGAGTTCTTTCACTTATGTTTGTTGCATTCATTAAAGATTGGTGAATACCTAGAAACTTTGTATTCAGTTAAGGTAGGTCAGCCCCTAGGCACTACCAAGTCAGTCCATACACCTAAGATGTGTATTTACAGGAACAAGCAGACCTACCCACGAATGCTAAATGGCTTGACCGAAGAGGCTTTAATCTTGTCCACTGCATGTATGCCTGTAGAGTGACAGAATTCATCCCACAGATCTTTTAGTGCATACTTTGTTGATTGCTTATCTGCTGTGTCAGTGTCCGCCATCTTTACGTCCACACGCATCGCTGCTGAGTAAACAATATTTACAGGTCAGGCAACAATCACAGTCAACGGTCATGGTCGTAGTTACACATTTTTAAATTCACATAATTAATAGGAAGCTAAAAAGAGTGCATATGCCCCAATATGTATAATATAGACCAGAACATTGTCGAAAATGCGTGACATTGTGCCTTTAATTTTGAATCAAGCAAATGGAAGGGTCCATGAGATACGAGAGGCAAATGACACTGGAACGTGCCCCAGTTCACACGAGGGTTGTAATAAGTACATGTCGATCGGTCATGAGGGGTGTATGGTGCTATATAATGTGTGGACATTGTGTGCAAGCCTGTGTGATTTCATGTGTAGAAATTGTGCAAATATGCACGCATGATAAAGTTTTGGGCGTTTGGTTGCATGACGAAAGGATTCAATAAGTCACCTAAGAAGCCTATACCAGCATTAAGTAAATACATCAATATAAAATAATATTCACGTATTTTTCAGCAAAGAAAGTCAACAATAGCAAGTACGCAGTATCGATTACCACACGAAACGGATTCCACTGTGTGTTAAACATAAAAGAGATGTGGAAAGTGCATGATGTAATCATTGCCAATACGTGCAGACATCGGGAGTTTGTGTCTCCTATCTACTGGAAGCACCTCCGCTTACACAAGTTGGTTATTCTTTGTCGTTGATGTTTGCCAGCAGGGAGATGGGCACTACTAGCAACCACGAAGACCTACGTGTTTAGAGGCGGTTGGGTAGCCTAGTGGTTAAAGCGTTTGCTTGTGACGTCGAAGACCCGGGCTCGAATCCCCATATTGGTACAACATGTGAAGTCCATTATTGGTGTCCCCATTTCCACATCTATAAGAAATATCTGGCTGAACAAGAGTCGATTGTACAGTTCCGAATATATCATGAACATAGAGAATACTACACGAGGGGTCTCATAACATACGAATTATACTAAACTCGTGTCCTTCCTATGGTATCTGACCGAGCGAAAGCGAGTCAGAAACCATAGGAAGATCACGAGTTCCGTATAATTTGTATGTTATGAGACCGAGTGTAATGCATTTTATTTATTACCCACGTCTTACATGCTTTAAATTGACAAAATAGCGTATTTGTGTTATTTTTATGGTTTCAAACCGAAACCGGTTTCATAAAGAGGTTGCGGAAGAATGTTGTTCTGTAGTACACTTTTTGCATGACGTCACACTGTAATGACGTCACTACGCCTTGCTCGTCTGCCCCCTTGGTAACCGACGTCACGATGCATGTCAGTTGTCATCGCCTCGTACAGCCTCCTACATTAAACTACTCCGTAGCACCCCGTTTCATAGTTTGCAGTTGCTTCACTCGGCTAACATCACTGGTGGAAACTTTGCGTTTATGTTTCTCGACGCATATAATGTCTCAGTTCGACTCCCAATTAAACAGCGATACGGTAACGTTCGCAATGTTTATATTCCCACAATGCATTTAAGTTGTAGAATGAATGAATTCACGTGTTTGTTATGAATGAAAAAGTAGTTCCGTCACAACGAGACCTAATTGAGAGGTCATCGGTTATCCAATCAAATCGTTAGAATCTCAGGTCAAGTCGTTACGACACGCGATACGACACTCGTGTGACGTACGAGATTAGTATGCAACTACCCATACGTTGACCACGAGGGTAATAAATGTGTTTATGAATCACTGTAATAATGATCATTACGGCTGTTCCCGAAAAGGTGAACACATCCTTCACCCGTAAACAACAAATACAAAGGTCATTCAATTGTTCACCTGAAAGAAAAACAAAACCGGAACGTAAGGTACACGTCAAATAATGAACTGATTCGGACATCATATATTTCTCGGATGTGTCGGATCGATTATTGTTTGGTGCTGACTGTTTGAATTTGACGGCTTAATCGATCTTCTGAGGTATAAGACGTTGCACAACCGAGAATTCTTCTTCTCCTTCCATTTGAAGAGTGCCACGAGTTTCATGACGGTTACTCTCGTCACTATATGGCTGAAATATTGCCGAGGTGATGTGAAATTTTAACCCACTCACTCACTCATGACGGGTCATACCAAAGACGTTAAAATATGGTACTTGTTGGTCCCTGCCTGGCGCTCGGCATTAATGGGTACAACAAGGACTGGTCGGCTCGGAGTCAGTATAATGTGTCTGAGTGGGGTATTCATGCTTCACTGCGGCATGGTATCTCAGTGGGCTAGCACTATAAAACCAGCTTCAGTCTGGGCTAGTACAAGCAGCCGCACATACACATACACACGCATGCACGTTGTCATATGAGCGAAATATTCTCAAGCACGACGTTAAACCCGATTTCACCTCACCTCACCTCACTCATGACGGTTACTGAACAAAGAATTCGGGAAGGGTTTTAAGAAATGTTTCTGGTAGACGGGTAGAAAACATTTCAATATATGGCGTTTCTGTGACCAAAATGATGTGAATTCAAATCCCAAATTTCAATTGCACAATATGTTGTCGGGTTTGTTCAGGAAAATTGAGTTGCCATTGCATGTGTGTTGACCGATGCCACCCATGCATCAGGATATGCATTTAATAACTAAATGTTCACCAAGGTCGTTGTAAAGGAACTGTAAAGTTGATTTAATAACGGTACAGTAGTGGGAATTGTTGTGTATGTTTTTTAGGAAAGTCTTCCAGATAAGAATATTTGTTTCTTTCACTGGAATAAGTAGTTTTCTGCACAAATGTCCGTGAAAGTTGTGTTTTGAAAATACATCAACAACTTCGGCTGCTCATTTTGCAGTATCGTTTTTCGTGTTTGAAGCATTGACTAGAACATTATAATTCAATCAACATTCGAAAACAGGCGCCCCAAGGATGCGGGGTTTAGTAGATGGTTTCACTCTCTCTTTGCGTTTTACCAAACTTCTTGGTTTTATTCTTTCATGCTATTTTTGCAGTAATGTATCTATTTGTGAACAACATATAGATGGCTTACAGGGGACAATTCTTTGAATGGTATTAGCGCGTCAGTGACAATTTGGGTCGGTCTGTGTGAACAATAAATGATGACTGACCTGGTAGCTTATCCCGACATCCTATGTGAACTGCGTTGACATTCTATATGATCTTTTATCCTTGCATCGCGCAGTTAACATGCCAGCCTCCACGCAGTTGTGTGATCAGTTCCGTTCAGGCCCGTGCTGTGTCGCCGGTCACTCGAGAACGTTTACCCAAAAGCTAAAAGCACTGACAACGCAAGACGTTGTAAAACCGGTTATGGATTTATTAGTTTCTTTTCTTCTACGTATCATGCCGTATGTCAGCAATATTGCCTCTACCCTGATTGCAGGTAAACAAAGATTTGCATAAATGTATTGGCTGATGACAAGAACAGATGATGGTCCAACAGTTTCCGTTTCGCTGTAGGCATTACTCTTTAAAACATGTTTGCAGTTAGCTTGGAGTCTACCGCGACATTATCTTTGTTTATCTTTATCCTTCCGTGCCATCTACAATGTCGACATAGAGATGTGGTCGGGTTTGGGTATATCTTATATCATGAAGATATATTTGCTTTGTTTTGTCGAGCCTGGTCCGACATACAGAGATTGATGGCGACATATTCCAACAGTGAGTCTTCGTGGGTTGCGGGACATGTTACGACAATATGACATTAGATAAATCTTTATTTCTAAACACGCCCTTGCAGTTGGCTCGCCCAGATCAATTCAGGCTTGGTTTACGTTTGGATACCAGTGGGCTTTAATATCTCCACGACAACTAATGGATGACTATGCGTACTTTACAAGCCATTCTGGAATGACGATCGAACGGAAAATCCCAGGAGAAGCTATTAATGAAATAAATTTGGAATGTCATAGTCGTAAAACCTGGTTTCACCAATGATATCCACGGATCCGATCACCCCTATTTTTCCTTGTACAATGAATGGAATCTGAAAAGTTGCAGTTTGGTTACTGTCCATTAAGAGGTAACAGAGTGCATTTGCTGGAACTGTCAAACTGCAGCGTTTGCGCTGCAGCATCCCAAATCCTTTCATCATCCTCTATGTGCACACTTTCTCTTTTGAGTGAGTGAGTGAGTTTAGTTTTACGCCTCATTCAGCAATATTATATTATATATGGCGGCGGTCTGTAAATAATCGAGTCTGAACCTGACAATCCAGTGATCAACAGCATGAGCATCGATCTGCACAATGGGGAACCGATGACATGTGTCAACCAAGCCAGCGAGCCTGACCACCTGATTCCGTTAGTCGCCTCATACGACAAGCACTGAAGGCTAATTGTAACCCGGACCTTCACGGGTAATGTTCTCTTTTCGATACTCCAGCTGCTCTGTGATATTGTTTCCAGCTGGACACCTGGATTTTATGATAAAAATTCAAAATAGATTACTTCAGTTTGTTTTCCTTGATTGAATAGCCAGCGTAAATAAAAACGGAACCTTTGAAGATCCGGTCTTCTGCAAACCATGTTTTGGTGAGGGGTGGTAAACGGGATTGGTGGTCAGATTCGCTGACTTGGTTGACACATGCCGGCGTAATCCCATTCGCATGGATGCTCATGACGTGGATCACTGGATTGTCTGGTTCAGACTCGATTATATACAGACCGCTGTCATCTAGATGGAATATTGCTGAGAGCGTCACTAAACAACAACCCAACACAACAAACAAACAAAGACCGCGAAATAGAAATGACATAGTGTACAAAAAGTAGTCCCCCAAAAGGTCAGAGTTCACAATCAGTCAATCAAATGCCCCGAATGACCATAGATGAGTGTATGGACACGTTTTGCTCCTGAGTTCATAACAGGTATGTGCAGATCTGCTTCGGGAAAGTTAAACTTCACTTATTAGGGATCTCACTGAAAAAGATTTGCAGTACTGTTAACGCGTATATGTCAACTGGGGAACATGCTGAAGACTGAGAATATGTTGAGTCGAAACGCCTTTGGTCGGTTACACATT